AATATGTTTATAAAAAAATAACAAGATACATATCTTATAAGCTCTCACACTCTCCCTTTTTTCTCCAAAGCAAAACAATTTTGCTTTTTCCAAAACCATGTTTTGGCCAAAACCATGGTTTTGGTTTTTGAATGGGTGTTTGGTGATTTATTCCCCAAACCATGTTTGGGGTGTCACCCAACACACCCTTAGTAGACGCTGGCCCAGTACGTAGATCGCGTGAGATGTCGGAACCATGAAGTTAGGTCGGGATCGGGGCCAGGCCATTGAAGTAAAACTCAGGCGTTAGTTGCAACACAACGTACATCAACTGCGCAATAATTATAATTCTAATTACAAAATTATAAAAGCCAGAGGTAAAAATGGAAAAATAAAGTTTATTGGTTTCAGTTTAAGGAAAAACAACCGGTTCCTTTGTTTCTATTCCAATAGCCTGTTGTAATTTCCTATATGGGAACTTTGTCGTTGTTATGTTAGTCATTTATTATAAAAAAATTTTAGTGATTAATTGCTTTGTGCCTTTTTCCCCCCTTAGAATTTTCTCTTGGAACTATTTTTGCTTCTTATTTCTACATAAAGAAACATTTTTTTCCGAGGTTAATGATATGAGAAGTTCAGAATAGATAATGGTTTTGAATCCATACCTGTGATCTTACGTGCTTTTCCCTTGTTAGCATCAATTAGGAATGAGAATTGAGTGTGGAAAATTTAACTTTTGGTTAGAAGAGGTGCTTATATTTAATATTTGATAATATCTCTAATAAAATTATCTCTAGAAGAATACATATGTCATGCATAGCAAAATATATATATATCATAAGAAAAATATGAATGCTTGTATCAATTTCATTAACCTACTAGCGTGCGTTTGGTACGAGGGATTTGGAAGAGAGGGGAGGGAGGGAAAAATATTTTAATCATTTTTCCTTATTTAGCAACACACAAATTTTAAGAGGGGGAGAAAATTTTAAAAAATTTTTCCTCCCATACCCTCCTCAACCTCCCTCCAAAATTGGGAGGATTTGGAGGAACAGAGCAATATTTTGTCATGTTATGATTATTATGTTCATATTTATTTTTAATATCCCTATACTACACTAATCTTTTTCTTCTTGTCTCCAAATGTTGCTCCCTCCTTTGTATGTAAATGTGAAATTTTAAAAGATAAAATGGACAATTCAATAAACAAAGTTTTGAGGATTTAAATTTTGACATATATAATTTTATATGTCAAAATTTAAATTCTCACAGCTTTGTAGCCATAAAGATAAAATAGATGAAAACAAGATCCCACGTCTAATAAGTTTATTTGTTTGACCAAATATTTCATTCAAAATGGGATACAGGACAAGTTATTGCTGAACATTACTTCAGTCTTTTTTTCAATAATATTTCACGCTCTAGAGTATATTAGAATTTTAGTATAAGTATTGCTTAATAGATTAAATGTTATTTACAATTATATTTTATTAAACATTCTATAAAATTTAAAAAAATAATCTTAAATAAAATAAGGGTAAAATTGTCTATGTCAAAATATTTTTCTCTCTCCTTCCCTTATAAACCAAACAAGATAATATTAAAACTCCCTTCTTTCTCTTTTTTTATAAATCCAAACAAGGTAATATTAAAATCTTTTCACTCCTCCCCATCCTCTTCCCTTATTAAAATCCCTCTTATTTTCTTCCTTTCATTGAACCCAAACAGATCCTAAGCTTTTGTCACATTAACTTGTCTTTCTTTGGTTAATTATACGTCTGCGACTCAACGATTGAGATGCTTAAAGATTATCCAATCTGATTAATAATTTTTAATTAGAACGCCGTATGCATGTACTAAAGCTGACGTATCACGTCATGTTATAGTTGACTCATTCCATGTAGCTATTCATTATTTCACATAATATCATTTCAACGCAAGATTGGTTTACATTTCATGCTAAACAAAATTAAGCTTATAATTAAGCCACGAAAGGTAACTCAGGTAAAAAGGTGACAATTTTTTGATCTTTTATCGGCCCAAAATATCTTAGCTAGTCTGAGTCAAAATATCAGGGATAGGCTTGAGATTAAATGCTTAAATGTGAATGTTTGGATCTGAGTACTCGTGCTTCCTCAAAAATGCAAAATTATTTATCTCGTCACGCACTACCTTTTTCTTTTGCTTTTTTTTTTTTTCTTAATGCATGGTGGTCCAATTTAACATAGCCAAGAGAGACCGTAGTCCGCGGACCGCGAAGCTTCTGAGGATGAGACGCGTGTGTGTGTGTGTGTGATAATAGACAGCTCTCTTGGAATTTACAGTACAGTTCCGCTTGTCCCCGTCCCATGCTACCCTTTCTTCACGCTCTCTCTGGGCTGAAAAATCGACACACATTACTTGTCTCGTAAAGCATTTACGCCTTAGCATATGATTGTTGGAAATGTGTTTTTAAGAAACTAACACGTATTTGTAACAAATGATTTCTTCTTTTACCTCTTTATCTTTCCAATTGACACTATAAGGAGTTAGATCTAATACAAAATATTCCTTCGGTCTTTAATATAAAACCTATTTAATTAATTTGATTAGATTAAGAAAATTAGGTAAGTTAGTGAATTATAAAAAATATGACATGTTTTTCGTAAAACATTATAATCATCTTTCTTAATACGCCTTTTTCCTCTCCTACCTGATTATGGTTGAGAAAGTGTCCATGAGGTAATTTAGAGAAAATTGATAAATATGATAAATGAGTCTTATATTTAAGACCAAAACCAACTTAACAATTGGGTTCTATATTAAGAACCGGAGGAGTATCAGTTTTTCATATTCAAAATTGGGATAATTATTCCACAGCTCTTTATAGTTTTAACTAATTTTGAATCAGGTCCTTATAGTTTTTTTTCTTTTTATCAGGTCCTTATACTTTCACATGTTTTTAATTAGGTCCTTGTATTTATTTTTCTTTTTATCAAGTCCTTATAAGTTCACCTTATTTTTAATTAAGTTCCTAAATTTTTTATTCCTTATTTTATAATTCTAATAGTACTATTATATAAACATAAAATAGTATATATTATTTAATATTAGTTTATAAACAATAATATTCTAAAGATATTGAATTATTATAATGATTTTATTTTTTTCAGCAAAAAAAATAATTGTTATAAAAATTTTCCTGCATTAATTAATTCTATTACTTTTTTATTACATAATCATTAATTTAATTTAATTATTAATATTTTATATTTCAGTATTAATATATTTAATTAAGCTTATATTTAATTAATAAATAAAAATTAAAACTACATGGACCTGATTAAAAATTTAGTGAAATTATAAGGACTTAATTAAAAGAAAAATAAATACAAGGACCTAATTAAAAAAAGGTAAAAGTATAAGGACCTGATAAAAAAAAAACTATAGGGATCTGATTTAAAATTCGTTAAAACTATAAGTACTTGCGGATTAATTAACCCTTCAAAATTTGAGTCTAATGTTTACATCTAATTCTTAACAGTATCTTAATCAAAATGTCTCCAGAAAAACATCTGTAATCAAAGTGCGGAAAGCAAACTAAAGACTAGGCCCAAAGAAATAAAATGAGATAAGAAAATCAATAGAATGAAAAAACGCCAGCTTCTCTGTTTGGGTCAGCTAGCGACCCAATCGGGCTCGCAAAGCCTGACCATTATGGGCTTATAAAACATGCTTGTAAAGATGCGTGGGATTATTCCCCCGTATATACATTAATACATATACTGCCAGCCGAATTATTCCTACACGTATCCTTAATACAATTGAAAAAAACTCAAAATACCATTTATTTATGTAGTATACCAATTGCCGAAAAATTGATAATAAATTAAATGAATTTAATCTTAATAAAAAGTTGAAAAGATTTTATCTATGTTTTTGGCCAGCAAAAAATTATATTTATTTATGTAGTTAGTCTTTTGTGACATAATTATTTGGCCAGAATAGTAAGTTAACAAGATACACATGAATATCTAATTTTCAATATGAATAATCCCTCAAAATCTTAACTGATATTTTAAGAACCTGATGTTGGTTAAAAAGAGGGGGAGGGGACGAGATCCTTCCAAGTTCCAACTTCCAACCATATCCAAACCTCCGATCGGGTAACTTTTTTTTTTTCCTATTTATTTCAAGCATATTTCCTCAACATCTGCAAATTAAGTATCATCAGATTTTGCAATAAATTTCAATACAAACACAAAATAGAGAGTAATAATAATTACAATTCACCTTGATTGGCAATTAGCCGTTTGCTGTTGGCACTTTGCAGAGAGCTTTGTATATATGTCATTGTTTTTTTTTTTTCCTTCTGCCCAAATAAGAAGTAAAGAATATCATTAATTATAATCAATTTCTACAAAAATGGATTCGCAGTGTGCGTATCCCATTGGCCATTGCCCTGATTCTCAACGCTGCTTTCATAATTTAAGTCCCATTGCTTGTCTTTCATTTAAAAAAAAAAAATACATAATATACAGATAATTTTTAACTGTTAATTTTTTTTGGGACAAAATTTGCAACCGTTACTTTAAAAATCATCGATAATCAAGTTTAAAAATTGTACATGTATGTATCTATCTGTATATCTTCTAAATCTTCTCACTTTCCAATATGAACGTGCATCCTGATCCAGATTCTGTATCACCTGAATTCGGGGATAAACATAAAATATACACAGAATCATAGTTGTGTGTTTAAAAAAAAAAAAAAAAGAGATAAGATCATGTAGCGAAGAACAGTAAAGGCTGTTTTGGAAACGCTTAAAAAATGATTTATAATCAATTAATGTCCATTGGATTGAAGAGATGATTCTCAGAATTTGCCAACGTTCATTTTCTCCCTCCATCACTACTATATATATCCATAAATGTCCCTTTCTCCCTACAGTCTCATCTTCTTCTCCAGACATATTAGCTTGATTTCTCTCTTTTTTTCTTTTATCACTACTTAATTTCTGAGTCAGTTTCAGTGCAACATTAATGGCGTCTGAGCCACATAGATTGCTTGGTCTGTTTCTTCCAACGATGACTCTCACGTTGCTACTTTTCTTTTCATCATCTCAAGCTTTCAAGTTCAACGTCGGTGGCAAAGATGGTTGGGTTGTCAAGCCTTCTGAAGACTACAATCACTGGGCTGAAAGAACTAGGTTTCAGGTCAACGATACGCTCTGTAAGTCGACGTTTAATTTTTACAGTTACAAACACTACCCGACATGAACAACGAACGTAACGTATGTTTCATCGTAATAGTTTGATATTTTATGTTGTTGTGTGTTCATGTAGATTTCAAGTACAAGAAAGGGTCTGATTCAGTTTTAGTGGTGAACAAGACGGACTACGATTCCTGCAACACCAAGAATCCCATGAAGAAGATGGACGACGGTGATTCCAACTTCACTTTCGATAAATCAGGTCCCTTCTTCTTTATCAGTGGCAACTCAGGAAACTGCAAAAAGGGTCAGAAGCTGATCGTCGTTGTCTTGGCTGTCAGGCACAACACTCCTTCTTCCCCTCCGACGGCTGCTCCGGCTCCGTCTCCAGCAGGCGGAAGCCCACCGGCCGTGCCACCGGGGAGTTTGTCACCCTGGCCAAGTGAGGGCCCAACTGCTAGTGATAATTCTCCGGCACCGTCGCCGTCAAAATCTTCGGGGTATCCGAGGTTTGGTGGTTCTGTTAGCATGGGTTGCAGGGCTGGGGTGATGTTGTTGTTGGTTTGCTTCGTTGGGCTTGTTTGAGCTGTAATTTGCTGTTGTTGGTCATAAATAAGTTGTTATCTTGTGGTTTTTCAGTCACTTGTTGATTTTTTTTTTGTTGAGATGGAAGCCTGATTAAATCCTTGCAAATCTTTTTGGTTCAAGATCCTCTCCTTCTCCATTTCTCCTTTTCTTTTCAAAATCTTATATGAAAAATGTATAATTTGAATTTAATATTTTATAAAATTATTATAAGTATAAATATATAAAAATTAAGCTGTTAAAATTTGACATGCACAGTAACTACAATACAAAAAAATGAAAAAAAATCAATTTATAAAATATTATAATAATGATACTATCACATATTAAATCTAAATCATTTATTTTTTAATCTAAGAATAGATAGATACGGAAGTATAAGAAGAGAATAGAGGAAAAAAAATGAGAGGATGTGGTTTCAATCTTATTTGGCGGAAAAAAAATATTATTCGTCTAGTTCACAGTTTAAGTTTAAGTAATTGAAAAAAAATTCAAACTTTATTTATATTAAATAAATTTTTTAAAGAGAGAGAAAAATCTAGCTAGACTCGAATTTAAATATTCATTATAAGAATAAAATTAACAAATAAGAATTAATCAGAAATATATTTACAACATTTAATATGCATATTTTTTATTTTTAATCTCAATTAATAACGTGTGTTTCTCCCTCTTTGTTTTTTTAATTATTTCTACCATGCTCTTTACCCAATTGGACCAAATCTTCTCATCGCATTTTCAAAAAATGACAAATAAACTGAGGCCCATAGTAGGAACACAGGTGGCCCAAGGCTCAAAGTCTCAAAGTCCAAAACGAAAAGGATTGCCCGGGGAAGCCCAAAGTCAGTAAGCATTAATGATTAGGGTTTTCACTGAAGCAGTTTAAATGCCGTGCCCCTGAGTCGTTTCTCTGCACCCTGCCATTCTCTCGTCTCCTCAAGCTGGTTAGTTGCGTCGCTGTTTCGCAGAAAGTCCTATTTGAATTTATCTCTTTCTCTTGGCCTTTCGATTTGTTGTGATTTTATTGTGTTGAACGAATAAATAAATGATTCAGATGACGACGAAGAGGATGAAAGCAAATTAAAGGATGTGTGATCATCAATGATCAAAACTATCCTCGCTACGTTCTTTCTGATTCGTCTATCCACTCTAATTTCTTTTTATTGGTTTTTGCTTGTTGCTTGAAGATTTTCCTCCGGATCGATAAGGATTTTGAATCTTAAGTCCAAACCGATCCACATATTTGGCTGCACACTATGCTGCCCTGCGCTGCAGTCATAAGAAGATTGTTTGATTTTTCTCAGTCTGCATTGGGAAATTTTGATTCATTCTTCTTCCTCTTTTAAAAGCGGAGACTGTTCTTCTTGGGCGACCATTTAGTGCTAAGGGTGTGTTTGGATGACTTCAAACCGTGGTTTGGAAAAGTGATTCTGGAGAATAGATTCTGTGAAGAATAGATTCTGTGGAGAATAGATTCAGAGAAAAAGTGATTCTGAGAAGTGAGAGTGTTTGGATAGTTATTACCAGAAGTGCTTTTGACATGTGGAAATGACCAAAAAGGGTATAAGTTAATATGATAATTATATAAGGGATAGATTTTATGATTTATTTTGATTTGAAGAAATAAAATTGTTAATGAAATAATTTTTACTAACATAATTAATAATATATAAGATAATATAATTAATACATAATTAATATGTGTACATATATTTATAAAACATAATATTAAATATGTTTATAGAAAAATGATTTTTTTAGAACAGAAAAATATTAATTTTGTTTAAAGATTGTAAACGTGAAATCCCATAACATTTTTTCATAACTACTTTTTGTAATAACATACTACATGTATAATAACCTCTGATGTTTAATACAATTAATTAATTAATTGTCACCACACATATATATTCATAAAATATAAGAGTGAAAAATATTTTTAGAGAAGATGAATTATTTTGTTGCAAAATAGAATAAACACGTCTTAAAATAATTTATTAATTATTCAAGTAAGTAATAATTAGCTTGAGAATATAAGGCATAATATTAATAAGAGAAATATAAATAAAGAAGTGTCATAATCATTAAGATGATGCATCGATACAAAGCATTTGTAATAGGTTTTGTTTTTAACTACATATTACAATCTATGATAAAAGGAAATAAATAAGACATGACTACTATCCTCGTATTGAATTAACAAGTTCGTCTCTTATGCTGTCACGAACCTGAGCCATGTAAGATGAAGATTGAATTGATGAATGTATACGTGAAAATCTAACCCCATCATCATCATCTTCTGCATAAGTACCTTCTTCTTCCAACTGAACGAATCCAGGATCAGTAATAGATGTCGTTCTAATAAAATTATGTATAGCCATCGTTGCACAAACGATTTTAACTTGTGTTTCAAAATCATAAGATGGCATGTTTTGTAAGATTGCGAACTTTTTTTTCCAAACTCCGAAAGTTCTTTCAATTGTACTCCTTAAACTTGAATGGAAATAATTAAAGATTTCATTGTCATTTTCAAACCCAGATGTCCTTCGAAAATCAGGCAAATGGTAACGCTCCCGTCTGTATGGGCCGAGATATCCATTCGGTGTTGGGTATCCAGCATCCACCAAATAATATTTTCCTATATAAAAAATGAAATTATTGTAAATTATGTTTCTATTGTTAAGCTAAATATAAAAAAAAATATAGGAAATAAAAAAATACCTTCAGGTGGATGGGGAAAGTTCATTGAAGGAGTTGTGAGGGCATGATCAAATATCCGAGCATCATGTGCGCTACCTTCCCATCCGGCCAAGACAAAAGTAAAACACATGTCCCAATCACAAACCGCCATGACATTTTGTGACACTGTTCCTTTCCTAGAGATAAATTTAGTTTGATCTGTTGCACTGACAACGCAGGAAACATGTGTGCCATCAATTGCTCCAATAGCATGTTTAAAAAAAGGCCAGTATTTACCAAACCGAATTTTTGTATGAACATGCCGGAATGTTGGATCTTTTGGTTTGATATTAGACATGGCAAGTCTACAGCATGCCATTAGGACATTATGAAAATGTCTGCTAATTGTCTCCCCTGAATGTTGAAATCTTTCTTGCTGCATTCTGCTACTAAGTGCATGCCCAACGGTATGTAAAAACATTGCAACTGATTCATGTATCCCTATATTTTTAGTTTCTTTTAGACCATGTTGTTGCAATTGTTCCACCAGACTTAAGAACACATCCCGTTCCATCCTAAACATGTTATAACAACGACTGGAGTTGCCATCTAAAACATCCCTTACCCATATGCAGCCTGTATAAGCACTTGTATGCCGAGGCTCCTTACACAAGTTCAAAGTAGCGTATGCACCAACCAATGCTGCAACTTTGTTAACTCTTTTTTTCCGTCCCTTAGCATGCTCTTCCACATGTTTAATTTCATCATCCATATTCGTTTTATCCTGTGCACATACACATAAAGTTTAGAATTCCTACGTAGAAATTACGAAACATTTATAAAAGTTACAGAGTTGTCTGATTCATATAACAATCCACTGGTCACATAAAACATACACATATGGAACTGTCTAATATAATAAACAAGTCATAAATCCCTAGTAAAATGCTCTAAAATGGGTAGAAGCTGTTCCTTCTGATCCTTCAGAGCTGCATACATTTCTCGTGCATCCTGCCGTTCCATAAGGAGTTGTGTGCACCGTCTAAAGAAATCAGGATCACTGACAACTTCAGGAACTGTTTTCAGGTGAGACAGGACTCCCCTAATTGAAACCTCATAAGCACGCGCTTCTTCTTCCAACCTTCTAGCTTCTGCTCGTGAAATGACCTCATTTCCACGCTCGGCCTCAGAAGTATTTGTTTCAGCAATCTTGCTAATTGCATCCGCTATTTTCATAGAGGGAGATGTGCGTTTCTTCTTGACTTCACTCTTCCTTCTGACCCCCAGTGAGCTACTAGGTCGACTCCTACCTCTGCTTGTACCCCCACCACTGGTATCCTGCCTCAATTCAGTGTTGCCTCCACTACCTCCACTATTATCATTGAAGTTCACTGTGTTAAATTCCCCACTTATACCAGTTGGTGCACCTAAAATTTCATCACTATCTCCGGACCCTTCTTCCAAATCTTCATTCGGTGTTCCTTCACTTGGAAGTGTCATGGAAGAAGGTGCCCATGCTTGTGGTCCAGTTGCAGCCACACTCCCAAACAGTTGAGTTAATTGATCCCTAAATTGAAGTCCTCTATCTCTAAATTTTTCGTAGTTTGGAACTTCCTGCACATTATACATCAATAATATCATAAAATATTCAAAAAAACAGTAAATATGCACAAAACATTAACAGGCAGAGAAAATGTAAGATCAAAAGGTTCAATAATTACCCTTATTTTCCTCTCCCACCAATCATCAGTTGCACTGACAGTATTCCTTTCAGTATCCCATCCCAATCCTGTCTCGCGAAGCAGCCTATCCCATGTCTGCCACTCTTTTCGCAGGGAATCATATTTGTTCTTAAATTGCTGTTTTTCGTACACTCTCCCAGTTTTGGCAGTAAACTTATCACGAAGAATATCCCAAGCTTTCTTTGTTAAGCTTGTACCTCTTCTTTCTCCTTGTTGCACAAGTTCAATGCACAGGTCAATAAACACTTTTGTGGTTCTTACATCCCAGGAAGCTTTCACCGTATCCTTACCCATTATGCTATAGCACAATTACACCTCTTCAGTCATCACAAGTTAATCAACCCAAAATCATATGAAGTAACAAAAATCATATTATCTACTGTAATAAGTGAAAAAGTTGACCACATCTTCAAATCTCAATTCCTTCATCCTACCAAACCAAGCGCGATAAAAATTAACAAACATAAGAAATTTCTAATTTGACATGGCTGGAAAATATACACCTCCCTCCTATTTCAAATTTCATTATCTGTTTTTGCTTCAAAATACTAACTTTTAAAACATCAAAACTAACTAAATTATTATATATACTTTTTATTTTTCTTAACTTTTGTTGAAAGACGATTGGATGAGAAAATAATAAGAAAAACCATTTTTGAACCATCATGTACCATAAATCATATTGTACTTAACCTTTGAAATAACTATGTATTACCAATGTATTTAAAAAAATTCGTTCATGTACATAATTAATACAAATGTTCATGATGAACGTACTAATATTATAAAGCACATAATTGTTTTTAAAAAATTAACATATTGTAGCAGCTTTTCATAATATTTGTTTAAAATTATATTCTTATCAGATTTGTCAACCGAAAGTACAAAAAAAACTAGCAGCATAAACTTCTGACCAAAATACAAATCACTTCCTTCAATATATACATGGATTTGAGTTATGATTCCATTTTTCCTCACTCTCAAAAGTTAGCCATAAGTCTATCAAAATCCTTAATACAACAGTACAGGACAACACATTTCCTATCTCGTTCCAAATCAGATCAACACATTTACATGATAATTAATTTAATTAAAGTACTATCTAAGGGGAAAAAAAATTCCCAATACATTGTTTGACTTCACAGGCTTCTTCTCGGGAGGAAAATCTGGACAGAAAAAAAAAGCTCCCACGCCAGGCAACAAGAGGAAAAATAACTTGCATATATATCCAGTAGAATTCAATTGACAGCCTTTCTCGTCTATAAAAAAATATCACCACATACATCCCTGCCTCTACAACCAGACATTGATGAGTCCAGCTTCGATCCGCAGGGAAATTTGCCAGGAAAATGTTTATCAAATATCAATTACCAGCATCTGATCTGTTCCCCCTTCGTTTCATAAAATCAAACTACTATGAAACCAAAGCAAGCAATAATTATCTCATGCCTTCGAATAACATGCCGGTCAGTTTTGGAAAAACCTGGTTGAACAAATTGAACACTAAAATCATTCCAAAAATCAACATACCACGGTGCAAATATACTAGCCACGGTTCTAAATTTCAACACAGGAGAGCTACACGGCGAACAAGACGGACCGAACCTCTGGTTCCACACGGCGGTGCAAAAATCAGAGGAGGGACCGAACCACAACCACACGGTGAACAAATCAGAGGGACCGAACCACAAGTTCACGGCGGTGCAAAAATCAGAGGAGGG